CCTGCCACATGAGACTCCTCCCCTTACACCCGAGACTCCTCCTCTTACATCTGAGACTCCTCTCCTGCCACATGAGACTCCTCCCCTTACACCCGAGACTCCTCCTCTTACATCTGAGACTCCTCTCCTGCCACATGAGACTCCTCCCCTTACACCCGAGACTCCTCCTCTTACATCTGAGACTCCTCTCCTGCCACATGAGACTCCTCCCCTTACACCCGAGACTCCTCCTCTTACATCTGAGACTCCTTTCCTGCCACCTGAGACTCCTCCCCTTACACCCGAGACTCCTCTCCTGCCACCTGAGACGCCTCCTCTGCCACCTGAGACTCCTCCTCTACCACCCGAGACTCCTCCTCCTCCACCTGTGACTCCTCCTCTTACATCTGAGACTCCTCTCCTGCCACCTGAGACTCCTCCCCTTACACCCGAGACTCCTCCTCTTACATCTGAGACTCCTCTCCTGCCACCTGAGACTCCTCCCCTTACACCTGAGACTCCTCCCCTTACACCCGAGACTCCTCTCCTGCCACCTGTGATTCCTCCTCTGCCACCTGTGACTCCTCCTCTGCCACCTGAGACTCCTCCTCTACCACCTGTGACTCCTCCTCTGCCACCTGAGACTCCTCCACTGCCACCTGAGACACCTCCCCTTACACCTGAGACTCCTCCTCTACCACCTGTGACTCCTCCTCTGCCACCTGAGACTCCTCCTCTGCCAACTGTGACTCCTCCTCTGCCACCTGAGACTCCTCCCCTGCCACCGTAGACTCCTCCCCTTACACCTGAGACTCCTCCCCTGCCACCGTAGACTCCTCCCCTTACACCTGAGACAGTTCAGGTGTAGAGCAGAAAGCTCAGGTAAAAGCTGACCTGATGTTCAGACTCGTCTGTGGGCTCAGCTCAGATTCAGGACTTTGTGTGTTCATTTGTCGACCGACAACCTTTGTGTTTCTGTGTGCACACACTCACAGCAGTGTGTACATTTACACACACTGTAGGTTCTGGTCCATCCTGACGTGTGCGTGGAACCTGGAGCAGGCTGTTCACACATGAGGTCTGGGTTTGGGCCTGGCTCAGTAGGACTGAGGCAGTCTAAAGGACCCAGAAGGGTCCTGAAGTTCTGACTCAGAGGACTGAAGTTAGAAACAAGTTCTAAAAGAAGAACCGCTGTTTGTGTTTCGGATCAGAACCCAGAGGGACTGAACCAACCTCCATCTCCAGCTGCTGCACCTCCTCTCCTTTAATTATTCACCATGTGAGGGGGCCAGACAACTCTCACCTCTGCTCCTCCAGGATAATCGGGCCCTGAGCCAGAAGGCCGGGGCCCCACAGCTCCGTGTTCACCCGACTGGTAAAACTGCCAGAGAGGGGGGGTGAATAATGTATGACCCCCAACCGGCTGCAGGAGCAGGACTCTGACGCTCCCACAGCCTCTTCTTCTTGTCTTTTTAAAACTCTGAGCTCGTTTGATCTCCTAGTCCTGGATCTGATTCTGACAGTCCTGGATCAGGTTCTACAGTCCTGGATCTGGTTCTACAGTCCTGGATCTGGTTCTTCAGTCCTGGATTTAGTTCTACATTCCTGGATCTGGTTCTGACAGTCCTGGATCTGGTTCTACAGTCCTGGATCTGGTTCTTCAATCCTGGATCTAGTTCTACAGTCTTGGATCTGGCTCTGACAGTCCTGGATCTGGTTCTACAGTCCTGGATCTGGTTCTACAGTCCTGGATCAGGTTCTGCAGTCCTGGATCTGGTTCTACAGTCCTGAATCTGTTTCTGACAGTACTGGATCTGGTTCTACAGTCCTGGATCTGTTTCTACAGTCCTGGATCTTGTTCTGACAGTCCTGGATCTGGTTCTGACAGTCCTGGATCTGGTCCTGACAGTCCTGGATCTGGTCCTGACAGTACTGGATCTGGTTCTTCAGTCCTGGATTTAGTTCTACATTCCTGGATCTGGCACTGGCAGTCCTGGATCTGGTTCTGCAGTCCTGGATCTGGTTCTTCAGTCCTGGATCTAGTTCTACAGTCCTGGATCTGGCTCTGGCAGTCCTGGATCTGGTTCTACAGTCCTGGATCAGGTTCTACAGTCCTGGATCAGGTTCTGCAGTCCTGGATCAGGTTCTACAGTCCTGGATCTGGTTCTTCAGTCCTGGATTTAGTTCTACATTCCTGGATCTGGCACTGGCAGTCCTGGAT